CTGAAAACGAAATGCCTTGACATGCAAATTCCATTAAGTTCCTCCCAGTAACCAGGCCACCCTGACATATACATTCCACCTACTTGAAGAATCTTGTGCTCATTAAACACTTCCAACAATTAAAATTGTTATTACCCAACCCTTCGTCATGGCGACATGCTATTCCCAAAGAAAGACATGAACTCAAGCTGTGTGTTTGCACATTCTGACGTTAGGGGAAAACAAATGACAGCTAAGCAACAGGGATATCCTGAAAAGTGACCTTTACGTCCACCCTCCCTGGCATTTTCCTGTCATATGCCTGCTGGATCGTTGTTGAAAAAAACACGGTTACTTTTTACAGCTTTTGTGACATGCTTTATTACTTAACTTTTGTTGGGCAAATATAAAGAGCTTTATAGTTTCTTACAAGTTCCTTAATTTGAGTGTAGTGTTTTTCAGGGGTCGAGAGACCCCACTGCTCCCGCAGGCTGAGGTCATTGGGCCTGTAAAAGAAAGGATACATCTCCGACACATTGTCCAGACAGGACAGGGTCTGCAGGAAAAAAAGAGAGTTGGCTGCTAAATGTTGTAGTCCAAGAATGTAACAATTCAGGGCAAAATATACTGATCCTTTGCTTTTGTTAAGGTATTATTGTAAAAATACCTCAATCGAGTGTGCAATGTTGAGGCACTGCTCCATGCCTGGAATGTCCAGCTGAAGCACGCGCAGATCTTTGCACTTGATGGTGATTGTCCCAGAGGATCCAGGCGTCCTGTGCATGTAAAAGTAAGTACACACATGTTACTTCTAAAAGCTTTGGTGGATGCTTTTGCTTCCACGAATGCAAGGATTCCTTGCCCGACTTGCAGCAGAAGAGAAAACAACAATGGTTGTTCTGAAGGTGTGCTTCTCTTAGTCAGTGAACCATAATAGTTTCAAGTGGTTTCAGAAATACTTTCACAAGGCATTGAAATCAAGCTTCAGCAGGAGGCACAGGGGACAGTGAAGCATGTGGCCAGCAGCAAGTTGCATAGAGAGGCTGCAATTTTGTTAGGAAATTTCCTTTCTCAGCAGAGGCAGAACACAGCAGGCACATGGCAACACCAACAATTTCCAACCTGTCACTGTGGGCTGCTTTTGAGAGGAAGCCGGAATAGCCCAAAAGGTTTTCCACACTGGTTGGACAGATTTAAGGAAGCGAATTAGACATAGTGGGATCAAATGACAGAGTTATGTTTAGTTCATTCATCAGCTTGGCAGTGTAAAAGTCGACGGCAAAGTGATCAGTTGGTATATTAGAGGAATAGATGAAACCAACATGCTCGTTTCAAATCCTTATTCTGATAAGTCAAGTAGGTGATGAGAAATTGTGTCTTTAATCAGTAAAGTTTCGCTGGTCTGGACGCTTTCCTCAATCTCACCTTTTCTCAATGGCATCGATATTCCGGAGCAGAAGCAGAATCTGCCTGGAGCTTCCCTCCTCCCTGTCCGAGAATAGCAGGTGGTGACCGGTGATGCACAGGGTCCCTCTGCTCGGTGGGTGCAGCGGCTGACGGAGCACAACATCCTCCAAGTTGGCCGTCTTGATGTGGTCAGAAAACTCCATCAGCCTACTCAGACTTCAGAAAAACCCTCACAGAAACGAACTTTTCTTCTTTCTACCCCCCGCACTTCACTTCAAATCACCTACTCGCCTCTGTTTAAGAAAATGAAAGCAAACTTCCTCTTCTGTACTCAGAGCCAGCTGGGCTGTCTTGCAGTTGCGCTGCTGGTTTGACGATAAGACGTCTAAAAATAGAAGAAACTTCATATTTGCCTGAACATAGCTGAACCAAATGCGGGTTCACCTTTTACTGTAACTACTTGTTAAGCTGGTGTCTAGTGTGGAAATGGAAAATGAGTTACTTGAGGCAACAAAAGACGGAAGTGCGTGTTTCCTGAGACAAAAAAGCGACCCAGTATGATGTGACATTTAAGTTAAGTTCAGTTCAGTTTCGAACTGAGAGGCAGCTGAGGTGCGAATGCAATACATTTAACGGCCACCATGTGGCACCACAAGGCAACAAAAGTTAGCTGTAGGCCAGGGTTTTGCAACGTGAACCAGAGGCAATTTTGCCCTCAGTCAAACAAAACTTTAGAGCAAATGTTACACGGTCATAAAAAAAAAAAAAAAAAAAAGACAATTGTTAATACATATTGACAGTAGGAAATTTGTAAAGCACTTTTTTCTATTTTTAGTGTCTCCTCTAGAAACTATAAATAAACTAAAAATAGAGAAAAACATCAATCTTTTCATTCAAAATTAGGATGTATTCATTTTATTACATGGAATGTTATTTGTGGAAAACTATGAAATTCACCTCAGTTATTCCATGATAGAAAATCTGAATCACTGTTAAAAAAGTATTTATTAAATCTATTTAAAAAAAATAGATAGTTCTTTGTCAGTTTTAGCCAAACATATTAGGAGCCATTGTGGTAGGTCCAAGGAGCCACTTATGTCTCTGGATCCACAGATTACAGGTCTTTGCTTTTGGTCAAGAGTTTAAGACTTTTACAATGATTAGATTAGTTTAGAGGATTAGAGTGATTTTGCTCTAGCTTTTCTAAATACAGCTTGTCTGTACCTGCAAAAGCCACAAAACATCATTTTATTTTCCCTGGTTCCCTGGGACGTGCTTTCTTTTAAAGATTTCAGACATAATGTATGTCAATTGCTATATATTTCCCCCATTGTGAACACAATTGCCAATATTTTCATCTATCATAACAAATACAAGATATTTTTTTGAGTTTCAAAATGTTTGGTGTAGTGTTAAACAGAAGAACTCCAATAGTGTTTTTTTCACCTATCACATATGTGCAAATTCGACTCTTGAAGCATATGAATGGATGGATGGATTTCTATTTTTTGTGCAAAGTCAATTAAAATTGGTTTTTGTCTCATCCTACACATGCAAATAAGTTGATTTAAAGTAAGAAAATAACTTCCCCATATATGAAAAAATAAATAAAGAATTATTGAAAGGACCCAAAGGAATGAAAACAAATGTAAAATACAATGGTAAATGCTGAGGTTACGCGCATGACTCTATTTAGTTTTACAGACATAGGACAGATTTAGAAGTGGAAAATTTTAACTAATATCCCAAATACACAATCCAGCCTTATTTTATGCTATGTTGCAAAAAAACACCACTACACATGTGATGTATTTCATTACTATACAATAAGCTCTAAAATATGATAATAATAATAAAAAAAACACAAGACTGGTATTTTATTTCATCCTTTCATAAACAAATAAAACAACACATTTCTTGTTATAACAGATGCAGCTATATAAATGGCCTCCAGGTGTCTCACCATCTGAAGATGTGCCACACAATTTTTAGTCAACCAACTATATAAATCCTGAGAGTTTCACGTGCAAACAGAAATATCTTAGCCCTAAATTGGGAAGTCGAGATAAATAAAAATAAAAAATACAAGTTTGATTAGCATTAGTAAGATTTATTATATGAATAATAGGGTGGAATCTTGGCTGGTTGAAATGACTACTTATAACTTATTGTAAAACCTTTTCCCATGAAGATTAATTATTACAATGCGTTACATTATATTACAATGCTAATGATGCATGGGAATGTGGTTAGTTATCTGTTTGCCTCAGCTATTTTTTGTCTGCAAAGAAAATAAAAGGTAATGTTTTGTTTTGTTCATCATTTGCTGGGACCTTGATGTTAGACGTTTCTGCTTGAGGTCGGGAGAGACTGGAATACTAGAGTAACTATTTCTTTCCTGATGCTACAGAAAGACCAGTTAGTCCATGCTAAGATCCATTTACCTTTTACCTTACAGATCATCACTGATTTAGATCTTCTGATATCTAAAGTGCTTGGTCTTCTCCTGGTGCTCTCTTAAAAACCCTTTTTTCTTTCATGCCATACAAGTCTTCATTGTGTTGGTGTATCCCATAAAATCTTATGTAAGATGTGAGGTTTGTGGTTATTACTTGACAATATTTGAAAAGTACATGCCATTTTACATTCATTGGCCTTTTATTGGACGCACCCTTTCAATTGGCTTGTTAACACAATGAGCCAGTCACATGACAGTAACTGAGTAGGTTCAGTCTTCTGGAGATAAGCTACTAAAGTTCAAACCAAAGACCAAGATGTGGAGGAGAGGGGAGTGACTCTGAATGTGACACAGTATTTGTGTTTCATAAATTGACAGTCTACTGAGATTTTCATCCATCTCTCAACTATCACTCTAGACTTGTCAGAAAAATAGGAAATTAACCCCCCTAATTTATATCTGTGGACAGGAAGAAGAGGGGGGCCTGGTTTGAGATGATGAAGAGGCAACAGCAGCTCAAATGAACACATGTTGTAACTAAAGTGTGCAGAATATAATCTCGAAATGCACAATTCTTTAAGCAGATGAACTATAGCACCTGAAAACCACATCGGGCGCAACGCCTGTTAGTTCAGAACAGGAAACTGAATTCACAGTTTCTACAAGCTCACTAAAATTAAACAATTACAGGGTGCAAGATTTAACCCTGACCCGATTCTGCATGAACAACGCATATGCAGGGATCTGACAAACTGTTCGGACTGGTGGTGCCGCTATGTTATGGGTTATATTTTCTTGATGCACTTTGGGCCCTTAGTAAATTTTGAGGGCCCAAAGCATCAAAATACACAGAGACTTCTTTTTTTTTTTTTTTTTTTTTACATAGATTTCGTGAGGAACTGTTACTTTTTACACTGACATTTGTGTAAGAATTGGGTTGTGTGTGTGTGTGTGTATAAGATATCTTCGCTATCTTTTTATGCATAGCCTCAGGTGGTCTTGGTTTATCGAAATTAAATTTGTTTTGAAGTTTTTCTTGAACTAAAACTCTCTGCTGAGGTCTTGAGGTCCGACTTCCCCTTTCATAAAACAGCTAATAAATTATCCACCCCTCCCGTCCTCTGCGGGATGGGCGGCCACTGTGTGACTTCTCCCTATAAAGGAGGTATGGACCTGTTGCGCTCTCCGCACCCTCCGGAGAGCCGTTGTCAAACCGAGTTCAGAAAGTTTCGCTTCCCCGTTGCATGAATGGATTTTAAAGAGCTTGGAGCTGATTGCTCGGAGGGAGACACGGAGGATCTGGACAGCGTCAAGGCGCTGACGGAGAAGCTGAAGCTGCAGACGCGCAGACCGTCCTATCTGGAGTGGCAAGAACGGCTGCAGAGTCGCCCTTGGATGGACAGGAGCCCCGCGGACTGTCCGGACCCCGCCGAAGAAGACGTTTCCATGCCCGCAATTTTGAGAAATGACAACTCAGAGCTTGTTGTGCGCAACATATGCGGCTTTGATACCATTGATGATGCGCTGGAGTTTCTGAGAAAAGAGCTGGTGAGTTGGGTTTATGTTTAACTAACTTATTGCAACTTGACATGAATGATTTCCAGCTAATTCTCAGCCCTCTAAAACCAAAATCTGATAAAGTCAGGAAAGAGGAGAGAAGCTTCCTGCTTCACTGTAAGGTAGATAGATAATCATCTCCTCGGTGTTTGCATGAATACCTTTCTCATTTCAAGGATAGCATGAATGATGACATGCTTAAGTCTGTTTAAACAAACACCTGGTGAAACAATATGATGCCTGTTTTCTCACAGCCCTTACCTGGAACCATCCAAATGCAAATAATTTCAGTTTCGCACAAGTGAGCATATGAGTTTTAAATAAGTGATCAAATGTGGAATCTGCTCTCAGTTTTTTTTTTTTTAGCATTATCAAAGGGTACAACTATTTGCAACAATCTGCCAAATATACAAATATTTTTTAAGGCATTTATATTTCTATATGAGAAAAAATATTTCAGAATAAAACTAAGTTTATAACTACAGTGATTAGTTTTCACACCCTATCAGAGTTGTTGGTGGTTAATGAATACAAAAAAATACCCCCCTTTTTTAATCAAGAACATTCTACCCTACACTCTGCTACAGAGATAAAACTAGTGATTTCTTACGTCTCACCCCAGTTTCCCACTTTTTTTTTCCTCACTGCCCAGAGGGAGATGCAAGTCCAGGACAACCGACTGGCCCGACAGCTGATCCGCCTTCGTGGGGAGATCCACCGGCTGAAAGTGGAGCAGGTGTGCCACCGTCACAAGGAGATGCTGGATGATGCCACTTACGAGTTGGAGGAGTGCGAGGAGGAGTCGGACCTACTGTGTGACATCCCCATGAAGGCCGCCTTTGCTCTCTCCACGCCTCTGAAACACCTAGGCCTCACCAAAATGAACATCAACTCCAGACGTTTCTCACTGTGTTGAAAAGGGTCAAATTTTGCCCACACAGAAACAGATGTTCCCGTATCTCTTCTCTGTGTTTGTACAAGGCACGTCACTAGAGTTACTTCCTTTCCAAGGGCGGACTGGTGAGTGGCAGGCAGCAATTGTTGCCAGCAGTGAAAATGAAAATGTCTGCCTTGATTGATTTGTGTCAGGGTATGACATGAATGAGGAAGTATTTATGTACTCACCTGCAGAAGGCATGCACACCTCGACTACTGCCAGAACTCCCTGCTGGTCCGTGTCTGATTCTGCTATTTTATACCACAGACTTGTCACAGAAACAAAACAAAAAAACCTTTGAATGAATTCACTATATTGCCAAAAGCATTAAGACAAACCTCCAAGTCCTTGATTTCATTTGTTCCAAACACCTCCGTGGCCACACCGAGGCAGCCGACTGCATGTGCAAATATTTCTAGAGCAGTCTCAGGATGTCCGTGAAGTCAAGTGTAGTACAGTGATAGAATCCTGCTTGTGCAAAAGTCAATTGTTTGGGGCATCAGAACGAAGTGGGAACAGTTTTGAGGAGACAACGTAAAATCATAAAATCAGACACATAGTGTGTACAAGTTGCCACCTATCTTGAAGAGTCAATCTCTATTTACCTTATTGAAGGTTTCTTTACCATTGGATGAATTTGGGTTTGCCAGTTGCTAAGAGAATGGTACTTGCTTGCTCTGTGCCATGCATAAATATTGGTGGTGGGGGTATGGTGTGTGGTTGTTCCTCAGGAATGGGGCTGAGGAACAACCACATTCAGCAAACCCCATTAGGTTCATTGAAGGTCCTCTCCATCCTGCAGAATACAAGGACATTTGGATGCTTTCTCATTCCAGCTTCACCGCCCTCCAGAGCAAAAATAAGATCCATGTACACTAGTGAGTTTGGTGTAGAGGTACTTGACAGTCCTGAAAAGAGCCTTGACTTAAACCTGATAGAGCTCATTTGGAAATGAATTAGAGTGAAGACCGAGAAGCAGACCATTGGGAATGACCTCACAAGTGTTCTCTTGAAATAAAGGTCAAATATTTCCATAAACACACTCTTAAACCTTGTGGAAATAGTTTCTAGAGGAGTTGAGGTCGTCAAATCTTACATGCGTGGGGGAACTATTTAAATTGATGTAAACGTCATGGTGAGCATCTGAATACTTTCGGCAACACATTGTATCATGTTATTTAACTGAAACGTGACCCACCAGAGACATTTTTGTTTACTTTCTCAAAGACCCAGGGACCAATTATTGTGACAGAATCTTCAAACAGAAAGGTAAAATATAATTCGTGAAGCAAAAAAGGAATTTGGCCATCAAAGCGGTGAAAGTGAGACTGAAGACAAAAGGTCAAACTTTGTCTGAGCTGGTTGAGGGACGAGGCGCCAACAAGTCGGATCCTTTCAGGCTGTCACATGCTTTAATGAAATCAAAGAGCTCAGAGCCGGTGTGTATTTGTTGGGCCTGGTGGAACTCAGCGAGTTTCTATGCTATACAACGTCCCCTCACACAGCAGCACTCTTTAAGCCTTCATCAGTTTCCACCAGAAAGCAGGAGGTCACCCTCATGATTTGTTTTACACCTCTCCCTCACGGACCAAAAATATCCCTTCAACCTCAGCACGGCTGTGACAAGAGCCAGCAGGCTGTTTTGTTTCCCAGTGACATGTTGAGATGCTGCAGAGCACTGACTGTATAAAGCTGACCAAGTGTTGCTTTTCCCCCCTTGAGCACACACTCCCACCCAAGATGAATGATTTGCTTTATACTTAAGAAACAAATGCGCGACTGATTACTTTTGCTTCTCGTATGTTGATGTATTTTAGTTAAAAGTATAACATTGAGTTCTATGCAGATTTTTGGTTGTTAAGTACTGATGTAAATGTATCTACTATGCATGCGAGTATAAAAGAAAATACCTTGGCTGGATTGCTTTCTTTCTTGCATAAAAGTGTTTAATAATAATAAGAGTAACTTAAATTCCCGGATGGATGGATGGATGGATGGATGGATGGATGGATGGATGGATGGATGGATGGATGGATGGATGGATGGGAATCTAACTGACATATAATGTTTTCCACACTCTATATTATTTTTCCATGCTTATCCTGACCAGGAAAATGCTTATTATTCCAGACTTTCCCAGACTGTAATGAAATCCTGTAAGTGGTATTACATTCCCCCCACTAACATTCAAGTTCACAGTAAAGTTTAAACCACCCATCATTTTCAATATTTTACTTGAACTAACCACATTTCCCGGGTTTCCAGGCTTTATTAATCTGTTATTGTTGCCTAGAAATAAGATAAACAAATCAGAGATGACCTTGTACAGCGTAAAACCTGAAAGTTATTTCAAGTAAAAATCACCACAGACCCCAACCCTATCATCTGGCCTAAAAACAGATTTTGCACACAAGTGTCCTGCTTCTTTCTTTCATGTGTTGTTGCTCATTTCCTGCAGGCTTGTGCTGAACCAGACACACTGTAAGATACAACTTGTAGAACATGAAACAAAATATTCCTTGGCAGATTGTTGTTACCGAGGAAAATGAGCAGACACAGTCTTCATACTGTGGAGTGCTGCAGGACACATGACCTCATGTGTGACTTGAAATCAGAACAACCAGACGTGAAGGTGAATATCAAATGAAAGAAGTTGGAGGGAAGCCTGAGTATCGCACCTTCAATAGCCTTTTTCTTTACCTTTGTGTTTCTTACGCCACTCAGGTTTGCCCTTCAGATATTCTCCCTTGACCTTTCTTCAGCATACCTAAAGCTAACACGTCCTTTAAAGCTGATATCATGGAGTAAATAAAGCATGCTCGGCTCTCAGCTCAAGCTGATACGGCGTGTGCGAGTAGTAAGCATCGGCAGCATGAAAGAAGACTGCACCTGCATCACAAAGCGGGCTGTAGGAGGACTGGAAAACTTTCTGTGCGTCGATAGCATCTAAGTTTGATTGCGTAACAGAATGTGATTTCCAACCACGTTTGGAAGCAGTGACAAATGTGGAGCAGGAACACCCTGAGCTGGCCGAGGCCTCCGATTTGAGGATTTCTGCTATTGTTTACACACATATATTAGGTGTTTTACTCAAAACAGCTGCCAGAAAGTCTCTGGAGTGTATCATGATGTGGAAAACTTAAACACCCTCAGTACGTTTTTTTGCAGAATTTCACTCTAACGGAAAAAAGGAGAGAATTTGGGCGGTTTTGGTCGCGAGCGAGACTCAATCTAAGCTGTGGCAGCCTTCAGAGCACATATTTCTGTGCACTATCTGTGATACTTGGACTGACTTCCTGCCAGTGCAAGCTCTACAGCAGCATCCGTTCACCACAAGAGAAGAAATGCGACCCGCAGCCTGAGATGTTCAGAAGTGTAGATGCAGGGGCTCAGAGAGAGAGAGAGAGACCTCACAAATCCATGTTATGCAAAGTTTATTTTATTTTTATTTTAAAGGAAAGTGATGCTTTGGTGATATGATACATAAAATCAGTTTTGTCAAATTTGATTTGATTGGACTTTAGATTAAAAAAACAAAAAAAACAAAAGTCAGGGCAAAGCTATTTTTTAATTGACATTAAATGAGAAACCATATTTTTGCAGTCATGTGTTCTTGATACTAAACCAGAAAGAGTTTTAACCCACAACAGAGGAAGCGCAGCTGCTGCAAATATGCTTATGTGGTATCACTTTGGGGGCAAATGTGATCTGTTTCATTAAGGTCTTGTGTGATTTTAAATTTCTGTTTGTGTTGATTAATCAGGGATTACTGTGTCAGCTGCATGCTGGTAGGGCACCTTGCGAAGGCCAGTGACTCCCACATCATCACATGGTGAGAACCAAGACAAAAATACACAAGCGTAGCGTCACCACCATCCTACAAAGCCCTCCTTTTCTAACTGTATTGGAACATTCTCATTTTCTGGATAAAGGCTTTGTCCTGACCCCCTTTTTTTTGTCGTCTTAGAGCCCATAACGTTCCTCTTTGCACACAGCTGCACATTCAGCACCTGTTAAACAGACTGCAGAGCAACCCTCAAAGTTTCAACGACAGGAAACTCTCTGGGTCGCTCTTCCATATGCGCGCACGCGCGCGTGTGTGTCTGTGTGTGTGTGTACGAGACACCGCATCAAGTCTGTTTGCAGGCTTAGTTATAATAAGAGAGGCGGATGATGACATCTTCACACCCAAGCTCTTGGTGTGTAAAAAAGTTGCTCTCTCGACATATAGCTCGGCAGAATAAATTCAGGTCTGAACAAAGGGAATCTTGATGGCGGCATCTGAAATCTGACATTATTGGACATTTGAGGATAGATTCAATTAATTTAACAGGTGAGTAAAAGACTTGTGATGGTTTCAACCTTCAAAGTTTGAGTTTAAACATGCTGTTACCAGCAAAGACTGCATACAATTGACATAAATATGTACTTGCTTTGTTTTTTTGTTTTTTTTGGAAATATATTTAATCTTTAGCCAACTGGAAAATGACTTAAGAAATTATTTTTATCCAAGTAGCTGTGTTCCGTCTTTTATTTCTGTCTATTTACTCTATCATAAGGCGAAAGCAGAAGTTTCAGAAAGGCTGATGACATCATCACACACAAGTATTGCTCTAAATTATCAATATAAAAACCTTTCTACCGTGTAGTCTTTATTTATCTGTCCGTTTTCTATGTAGTAAACCACCAACCGTGTCTTTTCTGTTAAACAGAACAATAAACTTCTCAAGGTATTTTATTTTAGAGATAATTTGAACAAAGGTAGCATAAAACGAACCTCCGGTCTCAGTTTGGTTCTTACTGTTACAAAAGTTGATTTGAAAGTGTCCTCGACATGGAGATCTTGAGTGCTTGTTGTGTTCATATCTGCTATATCCTGTTAACATTCAGCAGTTTGTTTGGAAAAGGCCTTCAGCTGCTTGTAATGATAAGAAAAAAAAAAGGCAGAGGGTAGCCCCCTCAGTGGAAAATACTGACTTGTGTGACTCCCCAAGTGTGGGCCAGAAAGCCTAGGAGAGCTGATAATAAAAGAACGCCTTCAGATGCTGGTGATCCCCCTTGTGATTCATCCTAAGGACCTCTTTGCTGCAAATGGCGGGTTGTTATTTAGACCTTTGCAGATTTCTCACGGCTTTAAGCCTCTGGGACAGACGTCGGCTGCGATTAGCCCGCTGACCCTTTTTCCATGAGCGGCCAAACACGGGAGTAGAGCGGCCTTGAGAAAGCTGGTTTAAACGGCGCATTAGTGTGAAAATACGAGACGTAGCACATGCGGGCGACAGATTATGCGAGATTAACATTGCTGCGAGTTTCTAAAAGAAAACCATTAGAGCCTAGAGGAAAATGGTTTTTGAGGGGATTTGGAGAGCTCCGAACTAGCGTGTGTTTCAAGCGAGTCAAAAGCGCAAAAAGTTTCAGCGTTCAACGCTGTCGTCCTCCATTTTGTTGTCAAAACATTTCCTCTTACCGGCCAGAGTTGTCCTAAAAACTTACGATTTCGGTTAGTAGAACCTTCTTAGTTACAATAACAATAATACTAATAATATGTTGTAATTGCCTTGTTTATTTTGTTGAACAATGAAGCATTAGTAATTGTTTAGTGAGCATATAAATCTTTCACTGTGTTATCTGAAGAAGTAACGTGTCCGTTTGAAATTTCAGAAAAGATGGGGTGCGCCTGCAGTTCGGACTCAGACAGCGAATGGATGGAGAACTTGGACGAAATTTGCGAACACTGCAACTGTCCAATTCCTCCCCAGGCCTGCAATCCAGTAAGTGGACGCAGAGGTCACCTTTGCTCTTAAAATGCTCAAATGGCTGAAGCCAGAAGGTGTTCACTTTACATGGGCTCCCACCATTCAGTCCCGTTGAGTAAACATGATACAGTACAATGTTTTTCAATCCGCTTCGGTACAACAGAGTTGAATAAACTTACATAACTGCAAGGGAAGCTGTCTTTTGTGCGTGTGATTAAGCAGGAGCACAACTATTCCCTCAGTGTTTTCTTTCCTCGCTGTGACTGAGATGTCCCATTAGATTAGGAATTAAGGAGAAAACCACCTGCATGTGACACAACACAGAGGCGTTTGGTTTGCAGAGAGAAAAAAAACAAAAAACAAATAAAACGGACGACAATTACCGCCAAGAGCTGGTTACCCAAACCAGAAACGTACGAGTGTCTGCTTAAGTTTTACATTGTTTTCTTTCTTTGTCCAATAATGCCTCTTTTTTTTTTGTCCCTTCAGTACACAGATCAGGTGATTCCATATCCATCACAGTATACGCCCCCGATGTCACCTTTACCAGGTATATCTCCTGACTTTGTCTCTTTGCAGCATATTAAAGCTTCTCTTGTGTTATTTGTGTTTGAAAAAGTGGTAACACTTTATTTGAAGAGGGGAGGGGGGTGAATAAGACTGTTATGACACTTTCATAAACATGACGTAACACCTGTCATGAACTGTTTACTGTTTAAACTTTACCTTTAATAACATAAAGTTACCTAATTTTTAAAGTGCAATCAGTAATACTTTTATAACAAATTTATATCAGCAATGATTTCTTGGTTAATGTCAAGTTGTCATAACAAAGACATTTTGAATAATGTCAACTTTGTATTAAATTGTCATAATTTACCGAATGACACTTTATGACAACAGTCATAAATTTTCATGAAGGCTTATTCATGTTCATGACAGGTGTTATGTTATGTTTATGACAGTGTCATGTCAGTCTTATTCACCCCCCTTCAAATAAAGTGTTACCGAAAAAGTTTGTATGTTTAATTAAATGTGTCAATTTATTCGTCTGATAGGGGAGAAACACTGCAAAAGTAACGTTCAATAAATTTGTTGAACATGCTTTTTCGTCCTGTCGAGTACTGTTCTCATTCCTAAAGGACGATAGTACTGATTATTATTCTCATTTCAGAATCTGTTTACTCGGCATTTTCCACTTTCCTCCAACCTTGTTCTGTCCACGCAAGTTTCCTTTCTCCGTTTTCTTTAAAATGAAAGCTACGGATCTAGCCGACTGCTCGATTACCATGTTGACGCTTGGAAATATTCAACTTCCTGGGGATTTAAGTTTGAAATGAAATGTAGTTTACAAGTCAAATGTACTTTATTTCAGTCAGTCCAAGTATTGGCAAACAAATATATGCAAATTTTCAAACATTTTATGAATAGAATTTAATTTACCTTATGCCTCCTTTCGACGGCTCGTGTTCCACATGTCCATTGTCAGCCTCCTGTATTTCCCCAATTATTTGCCCCATTTTGGGGACAACTAAATCCAATTCTATACATAATATCCAAGTTATTGTTGCATTTGGACTGGAGCGATCTGGTTAATACAAAAGTCAACGTATCTCCTGTATACTGGAGAACGAAGCAATCTAGAGGCTCCTCCGCAAGTGAAGAGGTTAAAAACTTGAAACTTATAACAAGAAACCGGCACAAGAATCTGAAAACTGGACCTGTAATAAAAGAATAGTCATGCTAAATTTTGTCTTCTTCGTACCTGTGAGGATGTAGCCAATAATGTTTTGCATAACTGTGGCGTGTACATAACAAATGTTGAAAATCCAGCGAGGATGGTCATCACAATAGTCCAGCCTACTTGGGCCTTAGGTGTACATTATTTTTTAAAATATATTCTTTGATAGAAAATATAAAAATTTTGTCATGTACTAAAAGTTGTGTTTAGCTATATATATATATATATATATATATTACTTTTAAAAGATTGATTATCTGAATTATTAAACTCACGTTTTGTGCTTGGGTTTTTGCATTTACCAGAACGTGAAACAATATAAACTTTATTTTGTTACAGAGGTTTTAACTAAAGATGCATATTTTAATTTGTTTAGTTGTAAAAGAAATATTTTCTATTTATGTATTTATATTGATGACATACTGAATAAAATAGTATAGGAGCCAGGTCATCAGAGAAAATTCCCTCCCCCCCAAAAAAACAAGAACTGCCTTCCTCTTATTAAATATGTTAAAAGCTAGTGAAGAACCGATTAAGAAAAAAACAACAACATATTTCTAACTTGTCTAAAATACGTCTTAACTTAGTTCAACAAAAATTCTGTTCCAAAAGGAAACAGTGATACTTGTAAGACATTTCATGACAGAAATGTTATGCTGCACGGGTCAAGGAGGCTGAGATTCAGCTTTGCCATCACTGCTGTGTTTGTAGAAAACCAATCAGAACCGTTCAAAGACGCGCAGTGCTCTGAACACTGGCCATAGGACTAAAACTATGAATGCTTTTTTCTTGCAGATAACATCGGGGTGGCCATTTACAGCTATGACCCCAAACATGAAGGAGACCTGGGTTTTGATAAAGGAGACAAACTCAAGATCATCAACAAGTGAGCTACTTGTAAATCCATACAGAGAAAACTCGCAAGTGGAAAAATGCATGCGACTCCAAACAACAATGCAGTTAAAGCTACAATCTCCTCACCCGGGAACAAAACTCAGTGGAGATGGATGTGACTAAAATTTGATTTGAAGAATATTTAACAACTTGTGACACCAAAAGTCATATAAATGACATATAAAAGTCTCCTGCTGTTGGTTCTGGTGTCATTGTGGTTCTGAGAACAGATAGTGAACTCAACATGTTTCCGGTGTGTTTCCCGAGCAAGGATGCTGTGAAAACATGAACTCAGCCAAAGTTTCCAGTCACTGTCAAATGTAGAAAATTTAATAGATGCAAAAAAAAAAAAAAAAAAAAAAAAAAAAGTGTTTTTAAACAAAAATTAAAAAAAACACCCCA